TTCCCTGATAAATCATGTCAAGACCTGCAAATGATTTTGCCCCTTTACAATGAAAAGAAGATGTAATTTTAAAATTACCTTGGATGTACTGTAAAAGCAGCATTCCCATAATCAATCATCTAAAATCACAGGGTTATTTGGAGCTATTTGAAGGAAAGTAAATTGAAAACATGTTGTTACACAATGCACCAAAGAGTTATCAAATCATAAACATCTAGATTACTTTAACATGTTGATTATTCCACATTTAGGGTCTCCTTACAAAATCACATGAAGAGACCTGGAAAATTCAATGAATCCCTTTCTAAATTATTAACTATATTGGGGTCAATACAGTTAAACTTAGCTATGTGGACATGACATATGTTCAATACACACACATACACACACACACACACACACATGCTTTTGGGGGCTTTCGGAGTTATTATTCACACTAAGCACAAGACATGGAGGCCTGTTATTAGGACATGTCTCTGAGGATATAGAAACAACTCAGGGAGTGCCGTGGTATAACGTTGGACACATTAAAACCTATCTGCAGATTTGGAAATCAAATATACAGACATTCCATAATGGCCCTTGGGTTTTAGGATAATTCCTGATCCTGAAAATTCATAACTAAATAATGGCAGCACATTTATGACATAAAATACCTTGAACCCATTTGTTTATTATTATATGTGGATTTTAAGTTTAAGAAATGTGGATTATGTTTAAGAAAATTGAAAGTCTACTCTTTTTCCTCCCTTGGAGGAGCGATATACAAATTACCTATGAGAATCTTTGTTTTTCTCACTGTAAAAGAGCTAAACCAGGAATGAAGTTTACGTCAAGGCATCTATTTTGTTATCAAATCTGTGATCATATGCCTCTGCAAAACTAAACCAAATTAAATTAATCTTGGTTGAAAAATAAATGATGTAATTCCTGGAGGAGTCTGCTTTACTCCCAAGATGGTAACCTGGTTCCTCTAAGTATCTTGTAAGAAAGCAAAACCTGAACTAGTTCTTTAAATCAAGAAGAGGAAATTGCCTTGAATGTGGCAGGGGTCTAAGAGGAGTCACTAACCATGAGTGATCTGCAATCTAAAA